TGAGAAATTTCTATCGGCATGCCTGCTTTAGCCGTTGCCTGTCTAAACGCGACCAAGTCAGTGGCAAGATTAAATTGGATCCCCAACAGATAGTTCGAAACTTCATCACTGCGAGGTATGCTGCTATGACCTCTAAGTAGTAACTGTGACGCTTAGGCTGAGTTTGTGTAGTTTTTCTGCTCCAGTAATAATGTTTGAAAATAATAGTCTAGATGATTGCAACTTAACGCTTCTGCAGACAAAAACCGACTATGTAGCCCAACAGACGACAGACGACTGTCTACCTCTATGTGTGTATAAATTATAAGTCTTGAGTGTATTGATTAAGTTACATTTATTTGTTGCCCGTTTGGCAATAATGTTTTACGCTGACGACTTGGTGCCTGAGTACTGACGTGTTGAGCTAACGACGTTATTTCAGAACTAAAAACATGCGATACAATTCTTAGGGCTTAAAGCTAACAGCAATTGTGGTCGGAGTCATATTCTGCCCAACCGATCGTTGACTCCGCTTAACTTATATATCGGTAGCTTATCGATAGATCGAAGTTAGATAAATGTTAATTTACAGAAAAGTGTTAACTTCTGCCATTTAAATGTATGTACTTTATAAATATATTTAGGACCGAGGACGAAACATTTTAATGCGTTGTACGCAACAGATTCTGTTTGGCTCTTCATCGAACACATTATTTCGGTGCGCTTGTGTTTTCTGTTTCGTGTTTCTGGTTAAGCAATACCACTAACCAAACAACATATAGACTGGACATTCAGTTGGAGGGGCTAAGGCCACGCTTTTGATATGCGGCTAGGGCAAAGTCGCCTTCGTTTTTATGCGGGTTCGAGACACGCTCGCACGCTCAGGCAGGAAGACAGTAAGAAATACATATGATCTGTGTGATCGAACGGCATCGCTGCTCTTTCTTATTCCCTCATACTTAAGGTAACTGTTTTGGCTTACCCTCAGTGTTCTTTTAATTTGTGTATTTACCGATGTACTGCCTGTGTGTGTATGTGTCTTAATATGTGTCTTAATCTTAATTTTCTATATTAATTAAGAAAATACAATAAATAGGAAAGATGAAAGTAAGAAGATTGTTTTTATACCCTAGCCCATTGAAAATGGGTAAAATGAGGATATTGTATTTGTGCAACATGCAAATGAATGTAGCAGGCAGAAGGAAGCATCTCCGACGAAGTATATATATTCTTGATCAGCATCGATAGCCGAGTCGAATTTCCATTTGTGCCTGTCCGTCCCTCCGTCCGTCCGTATTTTTGAACGCAAGGATCTCAGAACCTATAAGAGCTAGAGAAATTGAAAAATTTATATGTAGGTGCTCCTTGTGCCCGCGCAGATCGAGTTTGTTTCCGATAATTAATAACTTACTCCGTCTCCAAGCAATCGATAAAAATCGATATCAACATTTGGTGTTTTGAGTAAATTGGGTAAATAATAGGCGCTAGAGTCACCAAAAATTATATGATGCTTCTAGAATATTATATATTTGTCCAGTATCTTTCATTTTATACCTATCGCCACCTCCCCGCTATCACCACAGAACTATAAATCAAGTTAACAACCCAACCTTTATTGCCTAACAATTTAACCCACTATTTAAATGCAATTGACTTCTTCAGTATACACAAATATTCTATGCCTTCAGCAAAGCTGGTCGATGCTTCTTTGCGTCGCTTCGTTTTCGAAGTACATTGAGCGAAAAAGTTTAGAACTTACGATCGACGCAAAGTGCTTGTGCTTCATCCATGAAATGCATGCTTTATTTAAATGATTTATTACCATAGATACTAACGATTAATTTTACAGGAAGACTTTAGAATTAAATAATATTTACACAAGGCGCATCTTGTGCAAAAACTACGACAAGAAAATAGCATACATCGATTGATTTTACTTTTGTTTTTGGACAGAAAAAAGTTTTTGTCTCAGCCAATGGCGTGCAAGCACCTTTGGTTGAATGCGTGAATTACACATGCAAAAGAACTTTAAAGTATGTATGTGTGTATGTGTTGTTATTCACTGCTCTGGCTTTAGCTGGAAAGAATGTAATTTTGTTAGTTTTCTAACGCAGATAATGAACTATCCCCAATTTGTGTTGATAGATGAATGCATTTTGTGTACTGAGGATGGCTCCGTAGAAAATATGTATTTCTAAGTCGATGCAAATATTTACATAATTTCTTTAAATTAAATTAATATTATTTTTATCCTACAATTAAGAAATAAAAAAGTGCTAAAGAATACAATAACATGTTTATTTGTATAAATAAATATGACTTTTGATTCAATATTTAGTTAGATATTTTATTGATTCAATTTAGATTATTGCGCTTGTGATAGGGGTAGGTCGTGATCTGCGTCAAAAAAGTAAGAAAATTTTTTCTCTGCCAGCCAGAGATTTTGCCAGAGCAGTGGATAACAACACATTCAAATATGCTGTATGTATATTTACGCGCATACAAACATAATTGCTTGCACGGCCCTCATAGAGGCGAAGCTGAGAGCACATTCTATTTTTAGCTTTTTCGTTCTATCGGCAGTGAGAGCGCAATGCTACAGATTTCGTTTTCGTCCTCAATAAAAAAATCAAGCTGCATAGTAGCACTTTGTTGTATGGCGTTACTCATCTTAGTGTTTATATTGTCTTTGGTTCTACATTGGTTACTTAATTCTGACCTATATATTCGCTGCCCAACATGCATACTGCGACGAACTGCGTTTTCTTGGTTGCTACCAGGTCTCCCACTCTATTGCCGTGCTGGGCAAGATTTTTCTAGTCATAATTACGCTTTTAGACTTGCTCGACTTTGTTTTCGTTCACTGAAAACGGTTTATTATAAAAGATGCATTAAATTTAGCAGATCTTAAAATATGAATGAAAATGAATATGAAAACTTCAGTTTACTAACCGAATAAATTTGGCTGGCGAGTTGTCCAAGCCGAAAAGCGCTTTATTAAACTCTAAAGCTCTTCTCTTGTACCGAAGGCTGTATACGCTTTGCTCTGTAATGGGCACTATAAAAAAACATTCTCAAGCTCCTCCAATATGGCGTCCATGATTGGCACAAGGGTTGGCATAAAAATGGCACAAGGACACAATCCACCAATCCCATGCTGTTTAACATTCTGTAATCTACGCAAACTCGCAGTGTGTACTCTTTTTTAAGATAACTTTACTTGCTTTACTTGAAGGAGACTTGCGAACGATTCTTTTTCGACCAGTTTCTTTACAGCGCTGGCCTCGTCTGCTGCTAGAACACTCGGTGAATGATGAAGCTGCTTAATCACTTTATTGAAACTATCTTCGACTGAAGAGCTCCAAAAGCTGACTCTTCGGTGACATTATATATAAAGCAGACTCATTTATTGGCAACGGATCTACACCCAAAGTGATAAATGTGTATCCTTGCATATCGGCGAACAATCGATTTTTATACCCTGAACCCAATAAAAATGGGTATATTGTATTTGTGCAAAATCCAAATATATGTAACAGGCAGAAACATCTCCGATACCATAAAGTATATATATTCAGGATCAACACCAATAGCCGAGTCGATCTAGCCATGTCCGTCTGTCTGTCTGTCCGTCCGTCCGTCTGTCCGTCCGTCTGTCTGTCCGTATGTATGATCGCAAGGATCTCAGAACCTATAAGAGCTAGAGACTTAAAAATTTTAGATGTAGGGGCTCCTAGTGCCTGTGCAGATCGAGTTTTTATCGATTATCGATAACTTACTCCGTTTCCAAGCAATCGATAAAAATCTTTATCGATATCCTGTTTTGTGGGCAATTTTGGTAAATAATAAGAGCTAGAGTCACCAAACTTGACATATAACTTCTAAAATAGAATATCTATATGCATTTGATGGTGGAAGAAGGGGGTTCAGGGTATTTCCTAGTCGGGAGCTCCGGACTATAACCTCTTACTTGATTCTTTATAAAATCATGCCCCAACAGAGCATCGTAATCGCACTGGGTTCTTAAAACTTCTAGTCTGCAATTTGTCTACTCCAACTTCTTCATTTATTTGGTTTTGTTGTTATATGTCCAAAACCGAGCTGCGTAGATGTGCTTTTAAAAAATTTCTAGAAATTCTCTAAAGGAATTAAGTAGCATACTTCTACTTGTGTCTTATAGCAAGACCATTTATATACATGTAAGATTTATAATATTGTATTGTTTGTTTAATTAATAAAAGTCATAGCACAAAGTAAACAGTGTTTCTTAATAATAGTCCTAGTGCGCCACTTCATCTGCTGCGGACCAAAGCCGATTCCCTTGACGACAGACGATTCGTGTATATCGCTAGCTTATCGAATAATCGAGGTATTTTAATTAACAGGATTGTGTTAACTCCTGCCTTTACATTTGACCCTCCTGATCGTCCTCATCTGTCACAGATGACAACTTACGTCCTCTTGATCGGTTCCAGATATCCTACTCTCTATCCGTGCTCATCTCGACGTTTTTTTTTTTTTATCATAATTGCGCTTATAGACTTGTTGCGCCTTCTCCATGTTCTTCTTCACTTGGTCACGCAGCTTTTGGCGCTCGTCGTTAAATTGCACAACTAACTCTTCGTTGAGTACCTCTAACAGTCGATCTTCAGCTTGGCTGTGCATTTTAGTTCCAACATAACCTCGAATTGCGAATTGCACATGCGAATTAATCGCCTTTTGGATCTGGGGCACATACTTGTACCACTTTGTGGACTAATGGCTTGACAACTTCGCGATAATACTCAAAATTGAACGGTTTACTCGCTCAATCTGGTTATTGCCTCTCGCAACACCAGTCGTTGTCCACACATGCTCAATTTTCTTCTCGTTGAGAAACGCAAGGAAAGCGATGGATAAGAACGCTGCTCCTCTGTCGCTGTTTATGCGCTTGGGTAAACCTAACACAAACGACCAGTCGCTAAGCCTCTTGACAACTTTCTCGTGACCTGTTGATTTAGTTGGGAACAGCCATACAAATTTCGAAAACGCATCTACCATAGCAAAAATGTATTTGTATGGCTTAGCTGTTGCGTTCATTAGTCCCAAATGAGCGATGTGCAGCGTGTGTATTGGCGTGTCACCCTTGTCTATGCGGTGAAGATAGCCACCTTTTTTGCCCAACTTAGTACTAAAAATAATACAATTGACACAATTAGATACCTCATTTTCAAGGTGCGGAATCCAGAATTGCTGCTGGATCGAGTGCATTGTGTTGGCCATTGAAAAATTACCATCTTCGTGCGACCTTTGAATCACTTCTCGTTCTATTAGTTTCAGAGCAGCAAGCAACTCATTGCCATCGACGACTTTATACAGAAGACCACCCTTGAGCTTACAGTCTTGGTATGGGCGTTGCTTGAACATCTCTATAACGGCTTTGATGAAGTCGTCATCTTGTTGGACCCTCCTTATTTGAGCTGATAACTCTGTCGTAACGAATATACACATAGACGATGTACGACTGAGAAACTTCTTACGGCATGCCTGCTTTAGCTGTTGCCTGTCTAAACGCGACCAAGTCAGTGGCAAGATTAAATTGGATCCCCAACAGATAGTTCGAAACTTCATCACTGCGAGGTATGCTGCTATGACCTCTAAGTAGTAACTGTGACGCTTAGGCTGAGTTTGTGTAGTTTTCTGCTCCAGTAATAATGTTTGAAAATAATAGTCTAGATGATTTCAACTTAACGCTTCTGCAGACAAAAACCGACTATGTAGCCCAACAGACGACAGACGACTGTCTACCTCTATGTGTGTATAAATTATGTCTTTTGAGTGTGTTGATTAAGTTACATTTATTTGTTGCCCGTTTGGCAATAATTTTTTACGCTGACGACTTGGTGCCTGAGTACTGACGTGTTGAGCTAACGACGTTATTTCAGAACAAAAAACATGCGATACAATTCTTAGGGCTTAAAGCTAACAGCAATTGTGGTCGGAGTCATATTCTGGGCTACCGATCGTTGACTCCGCTTAACTTATATATCGCTAGCTTATCGATAGATCGAAGTTAAATAAATGTTAATTTACAGAAAAGTGTTAACTTCTGCCAATTAAATGTATGTACTTTATAAATATATTTAGGACCGAGGACGAAACATTTTAATGCGTTGTACTCAACAGATTCTGTTTGGCTCTTCATCGAACACATTATTTCGGTGCGCTTGTGTTTTCTGTTTCGTGTTTCAACATATAGACTGGACATTCAGTTGGAGGGGCTAAGGCCACGCTTTTGATATTCGGCTATGGCAAAGTCGCCTTCGTTTTTATGCGGGTTCGAGACACGCTCGCACGCTCAGGCAGGAAGACAGTAAGAAATACATATGATTTGTGTGATCGAACGGCATCGCTGCTCTTTCTTATTCCCTCATACTTAAGGTAACTGTTTTGGCTTACCCTCAGTGTTCTTTTAATTTGTGTATTTACCGATGTACTGTCTGTGTGTGTATGTGTCCGCACAAGCGAAAAGTCAAATTAAATTTTTCTCAAAAGTCGGTGGCTTTCTTTCCTTTTGAAGGGACGAGTGATATGAAATAATGAAAGGGTTTGACATGCTGATGCGAAATTTTTGCATTTTAGCTCGTTTTCGTTGGTAAGGGTACCAAAGCGTTGGCATGTGTGCACCTAAAGTATTTTGGACTCGCTATTCACGCATACTTGCATATTTTGTTTATAAATAGAAGAATTTATGCGCTTGTGTGTCTGTTGGTTGCCTGTCCCTTGCAGTTTCGAAAAGATTTGAAGTTTTTCTGATTTATGTATTTCGAGTTATTTGGTAAGTGGCAATACTGGAGTGTCAGCGGACGAAAATGTCGCAAATGATATCGCGAACTGATTTAATGCGAGATTGTACCCAAAAAACTCTCACATACGAATCGAGAAACGATAGCTACTTTCTTCTGTTCAAAATTTGTTTTATTTCATGCCCTGGAATCTATCAGTGCCTTCTGATCTTTACCAAGCGACGAATAGTTATTAGTATAGGATAGTTACCATTATGTAACATATATGGTATTAACAAGGATGTTATTTAGAATGATGGAATGTGCTCCTTTTCAGAGGTAATTTTGTCAGTGATGTTTTTAGAGCCTAAATTTAAGAAGAAGGCTGTTAGTAGGAAAAAGTGTTGTTAAGTAAAATTAAAAATAATCTTAATTTTCTATATTAATTAAGAAAATACAATAAATAGGAAAGATGAAAGTAAGAAGATTGTTTTTATACCCTAACCCATTGAAAATGGGTAAAATGAGGATATTGTATTTGTGCAACATGCAAATAAATGTAGCAGGCAGAAGGAAGCATCTCCGACGCCATGAAGTATATATATTCTTGATCAGCGTCGATAGCCGAGTCGAATTTCCATTTCCATTTCTGCCTGTCCGTCCCTCAGTCCGACCGTATGTTTGAACGCAAGGATCTTAGAACCTATAAGAGCTAGAGAAATTAAATTTTAAATAATAAGAGTCACCACAAATTATATGATGCTTCTAGAATATTATATATTTGTCCAGTATCTTTCATTTTATACCTATCGCCACCTCCCCGCTATCACCACAGAACTATAAATCAAGTTAACAACCCAACCTTTATTGCCAAACAATTTTAGTCACTATTTAAATGCAATTGACTTCTTCAGTATACACAAATATTCTATGCCTTCAGCAAAGCTGGTCGATGCTTCTTTGCTTCTTAATATTTACACAAGGCGCATCTTGTGCAATAACTACGACAAGAAAATAGCATACAAGATCTTGTCTCAGCCAATGGCGTGCAAGCACCTTTGGTTGAATGCGTGAAATACACATGCATAAGAACTTTAAGGTATGTATGTGTGTATGTGTTGTTATTCACTGCTCTGGCTTTAGCTGGAAAGAATGTAATTTTGTTAGTTTTCTAGCGCAGATAATGAACTATCCCCAATTTGTGTTGATAGATGAATGCATTTTGTGTACTGAGGATGGCTCCGTAGAAAATATGTATTCCTAAGTCGATGCAAATATTTACATAATTTCTTTAAATTAAATTAATATTATTTTTATTCTCTAATTAAGAAATAAAAGAGTGCTAAAGAATACAATAACATGTTTATTTGTATAAATAAATATGACTTTTGATTCAATATTTAGTTAGATATTTTATTGATTCAATTTAGATTATTGCGCTTGTGATAGGGGGTAGGTCGTGATCTGCGCCAAAAAAGTAAGAAAATTGTTTCTTTACCAGCCAGAGACAGAGAGCACATTCTATTTTTAGCTTTTTCGTTCTCTCGGCAGTGAGAGCGCAATCCTACAGATTTCGTTTTCGTCCTCAATTTTCAAAAAATCAAGTTGCATGGTAGCACTTTGTTGTATGGGGTTACTCATCTTAGTGTTTATATTGTCTTTGGTTCTACATTGGTTACTTAATTCTGACCTATATATTCACTGCACAACGTGCATACTGCGACGAACTGCGTTTTCTTGGTCGCTACCAGGTCTCTCACTCTGTTGCCGTGCTGGGCAAGATGTTTCTAGTCATAATTACGCTTTTAGACTTGATCGACTTTGTTTTCGTTCACTGAAAACGGTTTATTATAAAAGATGCATCAAATTTAGCAGATCTTAAAATATGAATGAAAATGAATATGAAAACTTCAGTTTACTAACCGAATAAATTTGGCTGGCGAGTTGTCCAAGCCGAAAAGCGCTTTATTAAACTCTAAAGCTCTTCTCTTGTACCGAAGGCTGTATACGCTTTGCTCTGTAATGGGCACTATAAAAAAACATTCTCAATCTCTTCCAATATGGCGTCCATGATTGGCACAAGGGTTGGCATAAAGAAGCAATAGCACAAGGACACAATCCACCAATCCCATGCTGTTTAATCAGGAATTTGTTCGTTACTAATCGCGCTGCATCTGAGCAATCTACGTTAGTGAAATTGACATGAGTGCATGCGTGAAAAGAAATTTGTTCAGTTTCCGAACCCCATTTAAGCTGACCTGACGCTAAGCAAAGCGATGGCCCTGCCTGTGTTAACAGGTCGAGGCCTATTATTCCATCGAAAGTTGACAGGTCCGATAAAAGAAAAAATGTTGCCTTTATGTTGAAAATTGAGACAAAACATTTTTGCGTGATTCTAGTTGTACCATGAATTGAGTGGATTGTGAACGGACGCCTTTTAAGCCTTCATGTGGTCTGATAAAGTTTTTAGATGTGCCCGTGTCTATGAGGAATTTCATATCGGCCCCTGCTACTCTTCGCCCGATGATGGGTAACAGGGATCTACCCCTAAAAAATTAACAGCATCTGAATCATAGCTAGCGCTCACATCATCCTCAATTTGCGCCTCTGCGCTAGAGGCGGTATTAGCATACATTTGCGATCCTTGTTCCGCGTCCTGCGTTACATGATTCACCCTTTGTTGCTTTTTTTGAAAGCCCGTGTGATCAGATGTTGCCTGTTTTCTATTCAGATACCCCGGTGCCTGTGTCGGTTGGAGGATCCTTGAAAATAAAGGATCTACCTCCATGGGTTCCTTTCCACCATTATTGTTTTGCTGCCGACCACTTCGTTGATCGGACTGACCCGGTTGTTTCTGCTGTTTGTTGAAGTGAGGGTTTTTTGCGTCATTTATCTGTGGCTCAGAATGTCTATCTTGCTGTCGGCCCTATGTCTTTGTATTCGGCCTACGCTCTTTTTCTTCTTGGCTTTTGGCAAAATTAGCCGCGAAAGCATATCTTTCGTGGTTTGACTCCACCTCCTGAGCAAGCGCCAGTGCCAAAGGCAAATCTCTAGGCTTGGCTGCGAAGAGCACATCCGTGAGATTGCGTTTAAGCCCCGATACGAAAACGCGCAACGCGTCGTCACGGAACTTCTCACAAAGACTTTTTGCCATAAGGGGCTCGTAAGACATATTGACCTTGTTGGTCGGTAGGGTTAGTTTTTACTCCACTTCGTCAAAATATTGGAGTAGGGGCAAGACACCCTGCCTCAAGGTGCCTAACTCTTTTTTAACTACATGGATCGGCCTTTTGTCACTGTATGTGAAATTAAGGCGATTTATTATCGCATCGAAATTTAACACAGTGCCAAATGAGGCAAACACCGCATCCGCGGGCCCCTTATTTTGCTTCCTACAATTATAACGGCCTGATAATGCCAAAAACTGTCATTTTATGGCTTAAAAATGTGGTAGGCGGCTAAAACCGCTTGCCTCCAAGAAACATAAGATTCCTGTATTCCTGCAAACTCAGGTAAGCATTTGACGGCGTCTAGTGGCTCGTCGCAGCGCATGTCATTTCTAATCTCAATAGCAGCATACGCTACTAATTGTGGGGCAGCAACGCTTGCTGCTGCCATTTGTTCGGATAATTCATTAATTCTCTGCACTAATAGCTGCTCTCTTTGCTGGTTTGCATTGGCTTGTTCTGTTAGGGCATTGCTTATGGCCGTTTAAATTATCTCTCTAAGTTGCTCTGAATCCATTTTATTCGTGGAGCTGGGATTCTGATGCGGCTATCACAGTCAGAATCCGAGTCGCTAGAGTTCTTGCAGGGGGTCCTTTACTGACCGAAAGACGATTTCATGGGCATTTAAAGCAAAAACAAATAAATCTACGCGCGGTCTAGCGGACGCAAAAACAA